GGCACACAGGTACTCTGGGGCACACAGGTACTCTGGGGCACACAGGTACTCTGGGGCACACAGGTACTCTGGGGCACACAGGTACTTTGGGGCACACAGGTACTCTGGGGCACACAGGTACTCGGGGGCACACAGGTACTCGGGGGCACACAGGTACTCGGGGGCACACAGGTACTCGGGGGCACACAGGTACTCGGGGGCACACAGGTACTCGGGGGCACACAGGTACTCTGGGGCACACAGGTACTCTGAGTACTCTCACCTCAGGAGGCTGGGCTGGCGGGGTTGTGTGTATTTTATACAGTCACAAAATACAAAATTATACAGTCATAAAACACCAAATACACACACACACTTAGCGGCTTAACTCTCTATTGCTTTAGGGTAAACCACACTTCACAGGAGGAATCAAAAGTAAATCCCAGAGAAGTAAATCCCACAGGGGTAAATCCCAGAGAAGTAAATCCCACAGGGGTAAATCCCAGAGAAGTAAATCCCACAGGGGTAAATCCCAGAGAAGTAAATCCCACAGGGGTAAATCCCAGAGAAGTAAATCCCACAGGGGTAAATCCCACAGGGGTAAATCCCAGAAAAGTAAATCCCACAGGGGTAAATCCCAGAGAAGTAAATCCCACAGGGGTAAATCCCAGAGAAGTAAATCCCAGAGGGGTAAATCCCAGAGAAGTAAATCCCACAGGGGTAAATCCCAGAGAAGTAAATCCCACAGGGGTAAATCCCAGAGAAGTAAATCCCAGAGAAGTAAATCCCACAGGGGTAAATCCCAGAGAAGTAAATCCCACAGGGGTAAATCCCAGAGAAGTAAATCCCACAGGGGTAAATCCCAGAGAAGTAAATCCCAGAGAAGTAAATCCCACAGGGGTAAATGATCTCATATCATCCAAATTTCGCCAATTTATGACACTCGTTGCGACACCATTTAGTGCCGACACAAACAGGCACTTCAACCGCGCAAACAACTTGCCAATGAATGATGAATGACACCAAAATGTTGTCTTCAAAGTTTGCAACAACTGAAATGCCTATTATAAATATTGTGACGCAAAAAAATGTTGTTTTCCTTATTCTAAATACCAGAGCAGTAAATATAACAATATTATAGTTAATATTAATACAAATTATTACATTTAACGGTCGTTTCAAATTCATATTTCTCTAATTCAATCTCACTTCGCCAAATCAATTTCACTTCGCCAATTCGCGCTGTTACCTAGCAGTAAAATAGGTACCTGGGTGTTAGTCAGCTGTCACGGGCTGCTTCCTGGGGGTGGAGGCCTGGTCGAGGACCGGGCCGCGGGGACACTAAAAGCCCCGAAATCATCTCAAGATAACCTCAAGATAACCCCCACCAACGCACAAACACACCCGTAGCAGCAAAAGCAAGGCCACTTTAGCCTTTGCTAAGAATTGGTACATTTTTTGTTTTTCTACATCCATTCCAGTACGCGATTTTTCCAGGGAACAGCTGCGTAAACTGGCGTATATGGTCGCTATGTTAGGTCCTCCAGAACACTGGTGGTTACCCAAAATGGCCGCTGACACACTTTAAAATATATTATAATAACAGAATCTCCTTCCAGGTGTGTGTTATGGAAGAATGTCTTAAATAATATACTTAAATAATATCATCTATATATAGCACATTATCTCTCTCTCGATATTATATATATATATATATATATATATATATATATATATATATATATATATATATATATATATATATATATATATATATATAATATATAGAGAAGGGAGTACCACCTCTGGCTGGAAGAAGGGGGACCCATATATAATATAAGGGGGACCCCCATATATAATATATATATATATATATATATATATATTTTGGTAGCAGTCTTTCTTGTAAACATATGTTGTTAAATATGACCGAAAAAGTAAGATTAATAATTCTAACACGAATTTTCTCAATATTTCTTATGTTTCTTTTTACTGTCGATGGTAATTGAAAAATCAGTTCTCCAAAATTCATATTAATTTCTAGTCTGACGCGACGCTTGAACGCGTTTCGTAATAACTTATTACAATTTCAAAGTCTTTGGTTTACACACACACACCTGTAACCTGAAAACACTTAACAGAGTTGTACTAATTCTAACGCTGTTGTTGTTGTTGTTAAAGATTTAGCTACTCAGGACGAAGTGTCCATGTAGCACGGGCTATGGTGAGCCCGTAATTGAGTTTGGTTATACATGATAACCTTTTTCCTGTGATATTTGGGTCTAAGTTTAAAATGGAGGAGAGGACTTCTCCTTTTTCCCTGCTTATTTATCGCTTCTGTTTTAGTGCACTGGTTTTAATCTTGTTTTATTAACATTATCTTGGTGGCGGATGCTCACTAATGAGTCCCATTCCTCAACAGCTTTTCTAATCATTGTAGTCGCGGTGGAATGTGCACCTACTGCAGCTGCTGTCGTTGGATTAATGTTAAGTTTGATGCGCAGGGCTTCAGAAGCTTCACATTCCAGTAAGTAGTGCAATAGTGGCGCCTCTGCTTCTGTTCCACAGACATGACATTCTTTAACTATTGGGTTCATTACCTCCCAGCAGCACTTGTACCCAAGTCTGTGTCTGTGTATGGCTACTGCAATGTCTCTGGATATATTTTTGCCAGGCTTGAAAGAGGAGTAACCAGTGGCTTGTTCGTGCCATATCGCAGTGGATCTTCCTTCCGCTACTTTGGCTCTGTGGCGACTTTTGATAGTTGAGAATATTTTCTTCTTGATTTACTTCTTTATCTGTGAGAAACTTGGAGGTATTTGAACCTGTACAACAGGTAGAGCAGTGGCAGTTTTTGCTAGTGAGTCTGCCTTTTCATTACCATCTATGTCAATGTGACTTAATATCTAATTTAGGGTGATTGACAGCCCTCGATTATGGGCTTCTTTTCCTATATGTTGGATTTCTGTGATGAGTTGTATATTATCTCTGTGCTGACTGGATAACGATGCCTGGAGCGAAGTTTTAGAGTCTGTATGAATGATGATATCATGTAAATTATTCTCAATTGTATAGTTTATTGCCTCCTTCAGGGCATATCTAACGCTAAACAGCTTGTCTTATATACTCGCATTTGGGTGAGGTGATATGTTGAAACAGTTTTGGATGAGGTGAACAAAATTTTGACCAACACAAGACAGAACACGGTTCAATGGGTATAAATTGGATAAGTGAAAGGGAAGAATGGAAGTAACTGCAAAGGGCCTATTGGCCCATACTTCCTCTTGATGCTTCTATATTGGAGCGGAGTCTTGAAGTGGGTAGAATATAGTTGTGCATTAATTGGCTGTTGATTGCTGGTGTTGACTTCTTGATGTGTAGTGCCTCGCAGATGTCAAGCTGCCTTCTATCGCTGTATCTATCGATGATTTCTGTGTTGTTTGTTAAGACTTCTCTGGTAATGGTTTGGTTGTGGGAACAGATTATATGTTCCTTAATGGAGCCCTGTTGCTTATGCATCGTTAATCGCCTGGAAAGAGATGTTGTTGTCTTGCCTATATACTGAGTTCTTTGGGGCTTACAGTCCCCAAGTGGGCATTTGAAGGCATAGACGACGTTGGTCTCTTTTAAAGCGTTCTGCTTTGTGTCTGGAGAGTTTCTCATGAGTAGGCTGGCCTTTTTTTTTTTTTTTTTGGTTTCATAGTAAATGGTCAATTGTATCTTCTGATTTTTGTCTGTAGGGATAACGTTTCTATTAACAATATCTTTCAGGACCCTTTCCTCCGTTTTATGAGCTGTGGAAAAGAAGTTCCTGTAAAATAGTCTAATAGGGGGTATAGGTGTTGTGTTAGTTGTCTCTTCAGAGGTTGCATGGCGTTTCACCTTCCTTCTTATGATGTCTTCCACGAAACCATTGGAGAAGCCGTTGTTAAATAGGACCTGCCTTACCCTACAGAGTTCTTCATCAACTTGCTTCCATCCTCAGCTGTGGCTGAGAGCACGGTCGTGTGTAAACTAAAGTCTTTGAAAATGTAATACGTTATTACGAAACACGTTCAAGTGTCGCGTCAGACTAGAAATAAAAATGAATTTTGGAGAATGGATTTTTCAATTACCATCGACAGTAAAAAGAAACATAAGAAATATTGAGAAAATTCGTGTTAGAATTATTAATCTTACTTTTTCGGTCATATTTAGCAACATTATATATATATATATATATATATATATATATATATATATATATATATATATATATATATATAGTTTTTGTTTTTAAAAATTATCGCAACCAGCATATTTTGTTTAAAAATATACAGCATATAAAAATAGTTATTATAACATATATACACCATCTCACCACAACATTTTCACATACAGTGTTGTCCTCTCTCCACACACACACACACACACACACACACACAACACACACACACACACACACACACACACACACACAAAACACACACAACACACACACACACACACACACACACACACACAACACACACACACACACACACACAACACAACACACACACAAACACAACACACACACACACACACACACACACACACACACACAACACACACACACACACACACACACACACACCCACACAACACACACACCCACACAACACACACACACACAACACACACACACACACACACACACACACACACACACACACACACAACACACACACACACACACACACACACACACACACACACACAACACACACACACACACACACACACACACACACACACACACAACACACACACACACAACACACACACCACACACACACACACACACACACACACACACACACACACACACACACACACACACACACACACACACACACACACACACACACACACACACACACACACACACACACACACACCACACACACACACACACACACACACACACCACACACACACACACACCTGCACGGTGTCAAGGAAGCGGAGTAACTCAAGGAATGTTTCATCTGCCACCACAGGTGCAGGAGAAGCGAGGAGCACCAGCACGGGGCTTCACCGTCAGGGACCTGCTCCAGCTGCACGATGCCCCCACCACCTGCCCTGGTAAGTCCCCCCCACACACACCTGTAAGTCAGTAAGTCTCCCTCCACACCTGTAAGGCAGTAAGTCTCCCTCCACACCTGTAAGGCAGTAAGCCTCCCACACACACCTGCCCTGGTAAGTCCCCCCCACACACCTGTAAGGTAGTTAATCTCCCTCCACACACCTGTAAGGTAGCAAGTGTCCCTCCACACACCTGTAAGGTAGTTAATCTCCCCCCACACACCTGTAAGGTAGCAAGTGTCCCTCCACACACCTGTAAGGTAGTTAATCTAACCCCCACACACCAGTAAGGCAGTAAGCGTCCCCCACACACCTGTAAGGCAGTAAGCGTCCCCCCACACACCTGTAAGGCAGTTAGTCTCCCAACACACCTGTAAGGCAATAAGCGTCCCCCCACACACCTGTAAGGCAGTAAGTCTCCCCCCACACACACCTGTAAGTCAGTAAGTCTCCCTCCACACCTGTAAGGCAGTAAGTCTCCTCCCACACCTGTAAGGCAGTAAGTTTCCTCCCCCACACACCTGTAAGGCAGTAAGTCTCCCCCCGCACACCTGTAAGGCAGTTAGTTTCCCTCCCCCCCCACACACACCTGTAAGGCAGTTAGTCTCCCCCCACACCTGTTAGGCAGTAAGCCTCTCCCACACCTGTTAGGCAGTATGCCTCCCCCCACACCTGTAAGGCAGTAAGCCTCCCCCACACCTGTTAGGCAGTATGCCTCCCCCACACCTGTAAGGCAGTATGCCTCCCCCCACACCTGTAAGGCAGTAAGCCTCCCCCACTCCTGTTAGGCACTATGCCTCCCCCCACACCTGTAAGGCAGTATGCCCCCCCCACACCTGTAAGGCAGTATGCGTCCCTCCACACCTGTAAGGCAGTATGCGTCCCCCCACACCTGTAAGGCAGTATGCCTCCCCCACACCTGTAAGGCAGTATGCCTCCCCCCACACCTGTAACGCAGTATGCCTCCCCCCACACACCTGTAAGGCAGTAAGCCTCCCCCACCACACCTGTAAGGCAGTATGCCTCCCCCACACCTGTAAGGCAGTAAGCCTCCCCCACTCCTGTTAGGCAGTATGCGTCCCCCCACACCTGTAAGGCAGTATGCCTCCCCCCACACCTGTTAGGCAGTATGCCTCCCCCACACCTGTAAGGCAGTATGCCTCCCCCACACCTGTAAGGCAGTAAGCCTCCCCCACTCCTGTTAGGCAGTATGCGTCCCCCCACACCTGTAAGGCAGTATCTTGAGGTTATCTTGAGATGATTTCGGGGCTTTAGTGTCCCCGCGGCCCGGTCCTCGACCAGGCCTCCACCCCCAGGAAGCAGCCCGTGACAGCTGACTAACACCTATTTTACTGCTAGGTAACAGGGGCATAGGGTGAAAGAAACTCTGCCCATTGTTTCTCGCCGGCGCCCGGGATCGAACCCGGGACCACAGGATCACAAGTCCAGCGTGCTGTCCGCTCGGCCGACCGGCTCCCTCCACACACACACCTCCCTGTAGTATGCCCCACACCTGTAAGGCAGTATGCCTCCCCCCACACCTGTAAGGCAGTAAGCCTCCCCCCCCCCCTCAACGGGGCCGAGCGGACAGCACGCTGGACACGTGATCCTGTGGTCCCGGGTTTGATCCCGGGCGCCGGCGAGAAACATTGGGCATAGTTTCTTTCACCCTGAATGCCCTTGTTACCTAACAGTAAAATAGGTACCCGGGAGTTAGTCAGCTGTCACGGGCTGCTTCCTGGTGTGTCTGTGGTGTGAAAAAAAATGAAAAAAATGAAAATAAAAATGTGAAAAATACTCACACAGCGCTGAGAGTCTGCCTCTGTCTCAGCGGCAGCCTTACCTCACACCTCAGCGCCCCCTGGGGGAGGGGGGGGGGCAGAATGTGCTGTCTTGAAGCAGGTTGTTAGAGCCTTGAAACAAGCGGGTGTCAACAACCCGTTCTCCCTTAAACTGCCACTTAAAGTCTTACAGAGACTCGGTGGTCAGCGTCGGGGCGCTGATATAGTGACTCCCAAATAATACATAACGCGGCGTTTTTATTTCGTATGAGTTTCGCTGTGGGGGGGACAGGAAGCCTTGGTATGTATATGTTACCTTAGGCTTGTCTCGAGGGCTGACAGCCCTAGACTGCTGTAAACGCGACCATGATTAACGAAAGATATAAAGGTTTCGTAACAGGTTTTGTAGCTGCCTTATGAATGGTAACCTAGACTGTTGCGAGGACCGTAGCTAGATAAGGAGCAGTGTAACACAGGGATCAGTAAACAGTGTTAATCTTAGCATATGATCAAGCTTTACTTAAGGAAGTATTAAGTTATTTCAAGACAGTATGTAGAAGTTAGCAAGGTAGATAGCGACTAGAGCTGGCGGCTCAGGGGCGGCGTGGCGGGTGACCTAAACACGCTATACAACAGCTGCTATACCTAAATGGCTTTTAGAGTTTAACCCCAGAAAATGCAAACTTATGAGAAAATATGCGGAAAAGGCAGAAAAGTGAGGGAAAAAATTGGTAAACAAGAGATGACAGGTTGGGCAACACATACACCAGCTCTCCCTTGTGTAGGCCACATGACTCTTGCTCATCAACGGTGTTAATGAAACTATAGTGTAGAATATGTGTACACATCTTCCAGGGTGTATATACACAGTGAGGTGTACCCTGCTGCTGATTGATTGATTGATAAAGATTAAGCCACCCAAGAGGTGGCACGGGCATGAATAGCCCGTAAGTGGTACAATTTTTTTTTCTCAGTATTCTGAGGTTGCATTTAACCATCAAGCTGTTATCGCGGGGGAGGATACTGCTTCACAGTCTTTATGAGGGTGTCCAGCTGCTGGACACCTTTGTTGACCAGGAGAGTGGCTGTGTTGATGGCTTCAGGGTGGCCACTGCATGATTCAGGAACTCTTAAAGCTCTTCTAAGGTCATTGGTTGCTTCACATTCCAGAGGATAGTGAAGTAATGGCTTTTCTGTGACAGTTTGGCAGAAGAGGCACTCTCTCTGTCGGGGTTCACCAATCTCCCAGTTGCATCTGTAACCTAGACGTAGTCTATATAGCCTAACTGCTATTTCCCTGTGGATTCCTTTTGGGATATTTAACCTTTCTAATTTGGTTGCCTGAAGATACCATGTTGCAGATGGCGAACCTTCAGCTATTCTCTGGTGCAGGTCGGCTTTGTTGAGATGTGAGAGTTTTTTGGTGATGATGTTTTTTATGTTCTCTAGGCTGGGTTGTTCTCTAGGCTGGGTTGTTCTCTAGGCTGGGTTGAATTGTTTTATGTATCACTGGATGGCAAGTTGCCAATTTAGCAATTGCATCGGCTTTTTCATTTAATGGGATTCCAACATGGGCTGGGATCCAGTTTAAAGTTATGTTGAGTCCTTTGCCTTTAGCGACTGCTCCAAGATACAAAATGGTGGTAATTATTTCCACATTATCTTTCCACTGTTTTTGTCCTAGTATTTGAAGTGCAGCTTTTGAGTCTGTGTGTATGATTGCATTTTGTGTTTTATGCAATCACATATGCGAATGCCTGTTGTATGGCAAACAGCTCAGTTTGGGTTGATGATACTAGTCCTCCCAGTCTCCAATGTGCCTGTACGCTGGTCGTGCAAAGAGCAGCGCCAGCACTCTCATATTCTGTGTCCACCGATCCGTCTGTGAAGATGTGGGTGGCTCCTGCTACTGCTATGCTATACATTTGCTCTTCTATTATGCGCCTTAGGATTGTTGGATCATAGGCAGCCTTTTTCATTGGGAGACTTTCTATTACTATTTTGAAGGTAGGCTCTTCCCACGGTGGGGAGGGAGTGTAGTTTGGGTGTGGATGATCACCCTCTCTATCAAGAATCATGTTTTTTAAATGTAGTCTGTTTAGGACTTTTCCTGCTCTTGCAACCCAAGAGTTTCCATTGTTTTGGCCTAGTCCAACCACCAAGGCCTGCCGTACTGGGATTGGATCAGAAGAAATAATTATCTTACTGATAATTGTAGCTGTCCTTTGTGATATTCTTTCTTGTAGAGAGGGCAAACCCGTCTCCAGTCTAAGAGTTTCAAGCCTGGTCCACATGGGGGCTCCCAGTGCAGCTCTCATAGCATTGTTTTGGGCAACTTCAAGCTTTTCTACTGTTGGTGTGATAGATTTGTGAGTGCAGGTGCGGCATAATCGATCACTGATCTGACTGCCTGTACATAGTATGTGCGAAGGACTTGCAGATTGGCTCCTCCAGAAAGGGAGGTTAGCGACCTGAGGATTGCCGTCCGGGCCGCAGTTCGCTCTCTCAAGTATGTGACCTCAGCATTAAAATTCATGTGTGTGTCCAGGATGATTCCTAGATACTGATAGGTGTCGACCCATTCTATTGGTTAACCCTGTACTGTGAGTTGGATGTTGGGCTTCGCTATTTTTATTGGCATGGCCTTTGACTTTGAGGGGTTGAGTTTGATCCCAATCTGTTTTGCCTCTTTACTGATGCAGTCTAAGCATTTGGGTGCAAAGCACGCCGCATCCCTTCCTTTTATGATGATGACAAAGTCGTCCGCGTAGTTTAGCAGCCTGCAGTGATGTGGGAGTTTCAACCTCATTATTCTTTCCATTAAACAGTTGAAGAGAAGAGGGCTGAGAATACCTCCTTGCGGTGTACCATTTTCATGTCTTTTGTACTCAGAGACTGTGCCATGAAGTTTTACTCTTGCTTCTCTGTTTATGAGACAGTTTTTGGTCCAGGAGAGCAGGTTGCCTCTGACCTCTTTGTCAATGAGGCAGCAGAGAATAGCTGGGGTGCTAGCCAGTTCAAAGGCTTTTTCGAGGTCCAGGAATATCAGCATTCCTGGTCTGTCAATCAAGTGGGCTAACAGAGTTGTAATACATTCCACTGTGCCAACCCCTCTTCTATAGGCATACATATCATGGTGCAGTTTAGGCATTTTCCACTCCAGTCTGTTGAGTGCCATTCTGTCAGCCGTCTTGGCTGCACAGCTTTGGAGAGAGATGG